GGAGGGCTGGAACCTTCCAGATATGAAAGGAAGATGAACCTCAAAGGAACAGATTTGTCACCACATGGTGCAGCCATTCTTCTTGTCCAGGACATTCTCTTCCCAGAGCCAAACTGAGATCTCCATATTATTCTCATTAACATGAAATAACCTTAGACTAAAGCTTTATGGATGAAGGGACATGGTGGGACATCTTCATGAGCAGCAAGGACTTAGAAAGACTGAGTAGAAAAGAGAGAGCCCAGAGAGGGAGAGGTAATAACTTTCTGGCCAACCAGGAATCAGAAGAAAGAAGGAGTGAGAGAGATTCTGAGCTTTGGCAAAATGACTAGACTCCTCCACATCCTAGGAGAATTAGAGGGGGTTTACTAGCATAGAACTATGGGTCTAAAGACACCCAGACACAACTAGAATATACAACTATGTACTAGGGGACTCTCGGGAGAAGGAGAAGAAGAAAAAAAGATTGGCAACAGCTGTTAGCTCAAGTGCCAATCTTTAAAAAAGATTTTAAAAATAAAAAGTAAATAAAAATAAAAACACCCAGAAGGGTGGCGTGGCCCATGCTTCCTGGAAAGGTAGCATCTATAGCGCATGGTAAGGCACAAGCATGTGAACACTGTTTTGAGGAGTGAATGGAGGGCATGGTACTCCCCGAAGAGTTCTAGTTGTGGTAAAGTAAATAAATGACACTCCCTCTAGTCTCTGCATATGCTTTGTGGTCCGAGTTACACAGTTCTCCATGCTTTCCCATTGGATATATGTGTTGTTACGGGGTTCGCTACTTTTAAATTTCTCAGTACAGCCTTGGGCAAGTACATACTTCCAGGAGTGTTGCATTTATTTGCAGGAGTGCTGGGAAAAATAAATATGCCACCTAACAATATTCCGTGACTCTAATTAGCCAGCAGACACACAGGAGGGGCTGGACTGGAGAAGACTACATGAAACGAGGCTCCAACAGTGGCTCTGATCCAAACGCTTTCTTAGGAAAGGGCTGGGAACGTGAACCTGAGGGCACGATGTAAGCAAGACCTGCAGACGCAAGCTTTTCTCTTGGCCATGGGTACATGGCCTCAACCCGGCCCCAGCTGATTGGCTCCCTTTTCTCCTTCACTCTCTGCCCCTCTGGTCAGGGCAACAAGAACAGCAGTTTTAGTGACTTGTAATAAAGGAAGTCCACAGGCCAGAGGACAGAATCGTCAGCCGTCTCTGTGGTTCAGATATTCACTGCTTTACCTCCCATCCCTTCTCCTCCTCCAGCAGTGCTTATGCTCTTCTCAACTGAGCAGAGAAAGAGCAACACAGCTTCCTAATCCCCTTAGTGGTCCTCACCCTGCAAGGAAACGGCTCAAAGTGAGTCATTGCAGCACCTAAAGCAAAGGTGACGGAGGCCCTCTTGAAAGCCTGATGGAAACGCAGGCTATAGAAACATAGTACGCTCTGTGGCTTTAGGGCTGGAATATCATCCTAAACTAAGCTACCCGTAGTGCACAGAGGACTAATTTGAATCTGCAAGACTTGGCAAAATCTGTTTCTTCACTTATTGTAATGGTAGAACATCTAAAGAATCCTTAGAATTATCACACTGGACTGAGTATTGGAGGACAAAAGAAGATGTCACGAGGGACCTTTGTTTTTCTCTTTTGGATTCAAAGAATACTACACTGAAGGGAACTTAATGATCGTACAGTCCAACCTGCTCCTTTCCCGGACAAGAAAAGTGAAGCCCAGAGCACAGATGGGCTGCCTCCCCTAGTCATATGGGGCTTAAAAATATATATGTATATTATATATTATATATACATATATATGCATATATGTGTGTGTATATATGTATATATATTTTTTTTCCATGAGCCTTAGTGAAAATGACCAGTGTTATCTCATTTCCTGGCTTCTCAAATCCAGCATCCAGCCAAATGTAACTATTATTTATAGCCTTACACTTATACTTTCTTACCTATATATTATTGCTGCCATCACTTGGAATGCTATACTCTGCCTCCCCAATCCCCTAACTTCCATCTTTTCAAATAGTTTTCATCCATCAGTGATTAGCTCAAATATACCATCTCTTGGATAAAAATTTCTCTGCTGACATAAAATTTCTTCTGTCTACAGCACCTACAACGACAGTACTTACACACCACCTATTATGGACCATGCAGCTTGCTTATATTTGATCTCCTTTAGTCCTCAAAATAACCATATGACAGTGATACTATCTTTAGTTATATATTACAGATGAGGAAACTGAGGCACAGAGAGGTTAAGTCACTTGTCCAGGGTCCCCCAGCTGGGAAATGGTTCTGATTATTATAAGTATGTGACATATTATCATTATGCTCATGAGGAGAGGAAACTAGATTCTTTAATAAGGTTTCCCCTCCAACCAACAAGTAAATAAAAAAACAAACAGATTAATATATAGGAATCAAAACCTTCGAGTTAATGGACATAGAATTCCTGAATTTTCAAAGCTTCCTGAAATTCAAGTTTGGTCCAAAGGATACGGCACTGATACTTGAACTTTAATTTCAGGAAGTGGGCGGGTAGAAAGTGTTTTGGAGGCTGTGCACTCAGGAGGAAGTTCCATGACTGTGTCTGAGCCTTGCACCTCTCGCCTGATGTCTGCCACCCCTGTTCAGGGTTACCTTTGTCGGCAGTGTAAATAGTCTTTGCCCATTACATAGATGGCAGATCCACCCCACCTACTGGAGGTTTCATCGGAGCCCCTGGCCTTGAATACAACAGTCTGGTATGTGCACATTTTTCTAGAGACAGGTTTCATAATGTTTGCCAGATTCCCCAGGGGGTCTATAAGTAACAAATTTAGAGGCATCGTGGAGGCAGAAGAGCTCCATGACTATGAAGGCAGAAGGAGCATTTCCGGAAAGATGAAAAGAATCCGTGGTGGGGTAGAGTAGTTTTTCTTGGATTTAAATAAAATGTTTATTCCTTCTTTATATAAGAAATAATCCTCTTCTAATGCTTTCTCTGGTCCCCAGCTTTGCAATAGTCTCTAAGAATAGAACTGAATGGATGTTAACTAGACTTATTGTGGTGATGACTTTGCAATATATACAAATATCAAAACATTATTTTGTACACCTGAAACTAATGTTATATGTCAATTATATCTCACCAAAAGAAAAATCTAAAAAAACAAAAAAGGACTGAATTATGTACTTTCCCCACTACAGATGGAGAAAGGAGAGTTAAGCTGACCTATAGTCAATGTTTTAATTTTTTTCTTGCCCTTAAATATCTTTCATTCTTCAATTTCTCTGTCCCCTTTCTACCTCAAATACCTCAGATCACCACCATCAGGACACCAGGAGGTAGAAAATGGTGTAAGCATGAGACTTTTACTCTCCTAGGGGAGTAATAATCATAGTTCACAGTGTGTTAGAATTTATGCAGTGTATACCTCATTTGATCCTTAAAACACATCTTACAGAAGCAAGAATTCATAATCCTCATTTTATAGATGATGAAACCAGGGTTTTCTGATAAGCAGATGATACCCCTAAGCAGAATAGCAACAATTTTTGTCTAATTCTGGATTTTATCGAGACCTTAATTTTAGAGTGGTAAATATGGGGACCAAAGTCTTTGGGAGATCTCACAGAACTCCCCTCCGTCACCCCGTTAATTAACCAGTATATGTTACAGAGCAATTACAGAGACAGATGCAGATATTGACATTATGGTCTTTGCTGCCCAGTGTATCTGAAACCATGGAGAAGTTTTGCTCTTAACTGGGAGAAAACAGGTGCAGAGAGCAGGTGATTTGTCCTTGCTCGCGTAATAAGTGAAAAGTTACACCAAAGAGAACTATCACTCTACAGTGTGGAAATGTTCTTCCTAGTGATGTGTTAATTTGAACAAAATGTTACCATAATGAAACAGCATACTTAACTCATGGCGGCTTTTTATAGCAGTGCTCAGTATGTGCAAAGTAAAATCTGATAGTATCTCCAATAGAGTCTTCTCACTTTTTTAAAAATAAAGAACTTCAAGAGTAGAGTGCGAGGGTTTTAATAATAAATATATAAAGAGTAGGATTTCTATCACCTTTAACCAAGAATAAGCTCCATTTCCTAGTTTCCTACCCTCTAAAAAAAACTCCAGTTCTTAAGAAATCAAAGATACTTTCAGATCTAAAATAATGCTGAATATCAAGCATTGGAAAATTACTTCTTCCTTTTATGACCATTTTACTTCGGTAAACATCTTTTCCCAGGACTCTTCTTAAAGATCACTATTCTTAATTAAGTTGAATCAAGAAATTGATGACATTTTGCATGCATTTTGCCCCTGGGATATTTCACCATTTTGAAAGCACCCAGGACAAATCTTGCATGAAGAGATGAGTAGAGTTGAAGGGAAATTTGCAAGTAATCAACCTAATCTTCTACCCTGGGTAGGACTGTCGGTTACAAGGTTACAATATACCTGACAGGAAACCAAGCAGTATCTACTAGTGTCTACTAGTATTCTACTACTAGAATATGACCAATGACAGGAAGCTCACTACTTCACACAGTGGTCTACCCCTCTGTTCAGCAATTCTTATCATTTTATAGTTCTTTCTTATTTCGAATAAACATCTACCTACTCTTAACTTGAACCCAGACCTTACTCCCAAAGGGGCACAAAGTCTCTTCTTTCTTCACATACAAATTTTAGATTTGTTTCTTTGTTTCTTTGCTTCAAGCTTTTGTTCTCAGATGAAACACCCTCAGTTCCTTTGTCTTCTTATACCTGGGGTTCAGATGTGTCAATATCATCTTTCCCTAAGAAAGTCATTCTCCTTTCAATCCATTATAATTTCCTAGTCTCCCTTTTTAAAATTGGCACCTTAAAATGTACGCAGCCTTTGGCAACTTTCAGAAATTGCTGCTGCTGAGAAATGTCCCTGGCTTTATATAACAAGCCCTGTTTGCTCACTGAGCTTTCTTTCGGGGATGGGGGTCCATGATCTGAGGACCTACCTTTGCCAAGGTCTCATCATCCAGGTGATTCTTCTGAATCACATGTTGAAGTGCAAAATAAATTTTTTCCTGAAGCTTCTGGACCTTCCTTGGTTCTATCAGCCAGGCTCGGTCTGACAAAGGAAAAGAATGGGTAAGAAGGGGAGGGAACATAAGTTTTGCTTTAGTTCACAGACATAAGTGCTGAGTTTCAGACTCATTTCAAAGCAGTTCTAAATTGCTTCTGAAGACATGTAATTAGTTATATAAAACACAAATATTTCATAAGCAATGCTATGATGACAGTAATGCACAATACACTGACGCAGGAAATCAGGATGGAGGAGGTAAGGGTACAATGGTTCAAATTAACTCCTTCGTGTTTCTTCTAGTGTGTGACAATTTGCATCTCTTACTCTCTGTGGACACATGCTGAGATTTTCTTTCAAAGTAGAAGTTAATGGTTTGTAAAGGAAATGAATTTTAGCAGTGAAAAAAATTTCTTGTACAGGAATATTTTTGGTATTCAGGATCCTCCTTCCTTTTATAAGCTATGTTTTAATTTAGCACAAACATGAGTCAATTTCAAAAATTTAATCTTGAGTCCTCTTTCTCCATATTGAATTTTTAAATGGTGGATAGGATAATTCCTCCTTTCTTTTCTTTTTCCTTCATTCCCTCCTTTCCTCTCTCTTTCCTTCCTTCCTTCTTTTCTCCCTAGAAGCTTTATACACCATGGTGGCAAAATTCAGCCCAGCATCAATGCCTTAGGTTGGAGCTTCAATGAAGAGACACCCGGAGTCTCCAAATGCTGAACAAATACTCATGGAAAAGAACTTGGACGTGATCCTTCTGAACACAGTTCAGGTCAGGTGAGAAACTCGATTCTGTAATCCTAGACAGGGCAAGGACAAGTCTAGTCAACAGTTAAGCAAAACCTTACGTAACTGAGCACAAAAGCCTTCAGTGACAATTGTCAATCAGAATAAATTAAGTTTCCCCCCCCCCCACCCCTTCCCTAAACTATCTGGAGCTAAATAGACAGTGGCTATTATGGCAAGAAGCTGGGAGAAGGGCGGGGTCTGGCATGAGATGGAGCCTACACAGTCTGGAAATCTCTCTTCCTCTCTTTTTGAATATGGCAGTAGGCCAGGTTGGCAAATATTTGGAGTTGCTGAAGCCTCTGAGTGTGGGTCTGCCATCAGGGCTGGAAGAGTCCCCATTAGGTAGAGCAAGCCAAATGTCCTCTTCCAAACTCATCCCAATTTGATGAGTACAGCACGTTCTTTCAGAAAAAGGCTCATAATTCAGCTGATTTCTAACTTATATGGAACAGGCTTGCCTTCCTTCTGGGGCAGTTATCTTCAAAGACTACTTAGGTTTACCATGTCTTAAATATTTGCTGCTAGGAATTTACTGACATGTCACAAACATACCTAAAGAGGACGGTGAATTTTGCAATGCTTCCTATGAGTAAGCAGGAACCAGAGTGAAGCTGCCTCCCTCCTTAGACACCCACAAGCATAGAACTAGTCTTCTACTGAACTATACCCAATGGGAACAACCAAATGCAATGAGAAATGGTAGGATGGAAATTATTTGGCATGTGGTCGCTACCAGAAATAAATATTTCTTGTCACTTCTTCCATTTATCTTTGTGCTTGCAGGTCTGGGAAACTTTCTAGGGTTGAAAGAAAAAAAAAGCCTAGAAGAACAGCTTGATTTTAGACAGAGCCACTAAAGAAACGTTTGCAATAATACATCAAGTGATAACTAATTTCCATTTTTGATTAAGTGCTTAAATAAAAAGCAGAAGCAAACAAGAAAATCTTTATGAAATTTAAACATAAATAAATAAAGCCTAACTGATAAAAAGTGTATAGGTCGGTATTATCAGTAGATATAACTAGAAAGACATGTCAAAGTCTACCGTCACAGGTAAGACTAATTTCTTCCAGCCTCATTGAAAACTATGTTAGGGTGTAAAAAGAGATCTAGTCTCTAGAGATAAATGCGTTATAGAAGGAATGAGTCTCTGGACCATAAAAATTATTAGGAATGTGTCTTTTTTTCAATAGAGAACTGCCAATGACACTGCTACCCCTTGACCCAAAACCTAACCAAAAAGACAGCTGAATGAGTGACTCTGAATTCTCATTCTGGTTGAAGAAGCAGCCATGGATTTATTAGGACTCTAGACACTTTCAAGCTGGCAGATACTTTTAAAAAGAATTTCAGGGGCCGGCTCTGTGGCCGAGTGGTTAAGTTTGCGCGCTCTGCTGTGGTGGCCCAGGGTTCGGATCCTGGGCGTGGATATGGCACTGCTAGTCAGGCCACGTTGAGGCGGCGTCCCACATCCCACAACTAGAAGGACCTGCAACTAAGATATACAACTCTGTACAGGGGTGGGGTTTGGGGAGATAAAACAGAAAAAAAAAAAAAGAAGATTGGCAACAGTTGTTAGTTCAGGTGCCAATCTATAAAAAAAAAAAAAGAATTTCAATTGCTACAATTCTATTTGATTTATAAATATCGCATCTTACCTTCTTCGAAAACTTTCTGCTATTTTATTGCATTTTAGGGCTAGATGAGGTTATAATTATCAGGAAGTCCAGTGCTCTTACTTTATGGATGAGGAAACTGAAGTTGTGAGGGGTCAAGTGTTAAAGGTCACACAGATAAGTGGTGACACAGCCCGTCCTAGAATGTCTACTGCCGCATCAGAGATCCTTCCCTGTGCAGCCTTTAGCAGGAGCCATTTTTCCCTCTGCTGTTCTCATTCCTTTTAAAGCTCCCCATATTGCTAAAAACAGGAGGCACCAGCATTTGCCTGAAGCGGGCACATCAACATTAATTTGGTTAACAAGCCAATGAAAGAGGTCTTTAAAGAGGAGAAAGTGTATGTTTTACTTATTTTAGTCCCTATGCTAGGTGTCTCATTCCAGTATCCTTCTACTACTCTGGTTCTACTACTGCCTTACTGGACATTTTTTTTCTATGTCCTTTATTTTAAAAATCAAAATAGAACTTAGCTATAACTCAAACACTATCTGTTTTCATTTATTTGTTAAGGAATAATTTTGCTTATTTGAATCTGGAGTGACCCTTACCACGAGCTCTACTCTTGATTTGGGGACAAAACTAGTCATTTTAATTAACTGGAGGCTACTTTATTTTGAATTGTCCAAAAACATCAAAAGCTTATGAAAGAAAATATAGTTTTAAAGTTTCTCCTGAGCACCTTGGATTAGGTAGGTGGAATCCATGTTAAAGATAGTAAAAGAGGTTATTAAAAAAAGGCAAAGACCTCAGGCCTCCCTACCTGGAGAGATGAGAACAGCAGATGAGAACAAAGCAATCTCCTCCTCGGTCAGCTGCAAGGAACACAAATTCTTTGCAAAGTCAAATGCTTCATTCACTAGGTCATCAGAGCCTATAAAAGAAGGCAAATTAGATGAAAATACTTGAACAGAATGGGACAATAGTAAGACAAGTCCCATAATCAAGAAGTTATTCAACAATCTGCATACTACACACATAGAAAAAATATTTCCAAGTTCCTATCCATAAAAAGTGATTTATGGGGCTGGCCCCATGGCGGAGTGGTTAAAGTTCTGCCTCAGTGGCCCGGGTTTGCGGATTCAGATCCCAGGTGCAGACCTACTCCACTCATCAGCCATTCTGTGGAGGCCTCCCACATACAAAACATAGAGGAAGATTGGCATGGATGGTAGCTGAGGGACAATCTTCCTCAAGCGAAAAAAGAGGAGGATTGGCAATGGCTGTTAGCTTAGGGCAAATCTTCCTCACCAAAAAAAAAAACAAAAGCGATTTAGTAGTAATTACAGAAGAACAAAGTTGGGCAACATCTTGATTAGGTAATGAACGATAACATTACCAATGAGGGACAGTTGGAAATGGTGTGTGTCCATTGTAATATCCAACAGGGAATATATTACCTGACTCTAATATTATAAGTTTGAAATTAGTCCCAACTTAAATAATTTAAACAAGTGACTGGGGATCCTTTAGTATAAAGATAGCATTCATAGAAAACCTAAAACATTATGTATAAGGTGCCGAGGACTGTCAGTCTTAGTGGCACTTGAACTTTGCACTGTAGGTTGTCCAGGTGCATTCTATACAGAATGAAGATGAGGTAGCTATCGATTTTGTAATGTCCCTGGAAATTGGATAGAGGAGCTAGGGTTCATATATTTTTACCTTCTCATGGATGACTCACAGGTCAGTTGCTTAGCCATTGTGAATTTTGGCAAAGTAATGCTTCATCCCTACACTGATACGCGGTAAATGTTTATTTTATGAAGCTGGAAATATACCCAAGTTGCTTGCCAAGGCTTTTCCTCCTTTCTTGAAAATCTAGCCTTGGAGATGACATGGATGTGTATCAACCGCAGAGAGGAAACATTGCCAGCCCCATCAGCCTTGCTGTTGGCTTCTGTATCAACTAACGGTACAAGAGGTGAAAGGGCAGTGGCCTCCTTTGATGTCCATGGGCAGGAAATGGAACAAAAGGCACTATCAATGGTTAAAACCTTTCCTGGCATCAGCCCATCTTTGCTAATGTTCTTATCCACACTGTGCACTGATGACTGGATATGAACAATACACAACGCTTCCAAACAGAGACTGACTCTGTCCGTGCCCTCCCACAAGAATGGTCTGGGGATAATTTGGGGCAGGTCAGCACCCACTCTATCTGTGCTCCCAGAACTTAATGAATTAACAGGGAGAAAGTCATTGCTCTGAGTGAGAAACAAGTGAAGGAGGTCCTCTTTTAACTAGGTGTCTTAACTAATGATTATGAATTTACATAGGAAACTTAAGAGGTCACCCCTAAGGACCACCAGTGGTCTACATGGCAGACTTTGTGAAGCAGTAAGCTAGAAGGTAACAGAAGAGCTGATCCTACAAAGAATGACCTATAACACACCCCAGCTCTTTTAGATTCAATCTTCATTGATTTCTGAATGAGGCATGGTCGGTCTCAATAGGGTCCATGGTTCTCTCCTTCCTTTCATATTTGGATGCATAATTGTAGGATCCAAAGAATTAGATGAAACATTGGAGGCTCACCTAGTCCAACTCTTATCTAATAATGAGATACTAGTTCACATTAAAGAATCAAGGCATTTCATTTACCAATTTCAAGCTGAGTGGAGAAACTGATGGTACCTAATAAAATTGTGTCATTATCAAAGGGAAACTTACCTAAGGCCTTGAACATTTGCATTCCTCCATATTTTCCTTCAAACAGAACAGTGTTGTTTAATGGGTTGAAGGCACGGCACATTCTCACTAAAACCACTTCCAAGCAACCTGTTAGTAAAAAATTAAAAATATATATATAATATATGCAATAATAAAGAGGTTATTACTGCATACAGACCAAGAACCTTTCAAAAACTTTAAAACACACACACAGACACATATAGACACACACATACAGAAATCCTTCAAGATTTCTTCCCAGGTAAAAATTAACTGTTTCAGAAACAAAGCTCTAATAAAGATAAAATATACTTTAAAGGTGGCTAAAATGGAGGGCCGCAATAATATTTTTTTTAACGCATACATTTCCTTCTATTTTTTTGACTAACATTAAAGCTAGTTTCAACTCTCGAATTCATAAGCGATGAGAAGTGGCCCAGAAAGGAGCTTTGTGGCAGGCAAGTCCAGTCTGCTAACTTTTGTAGAAGTTTTGCTACTGGGAAAACTTGCTCTCTGCTTCAGTGTTTCACATATTCCATGTATACGTCAGCATATGATGACTTGAAATAGAGACCCCCTCAGTGTGTTTCTTGGAGGCACCATTTGTATCTGATATTCTTTGAAATAAGGGTTTCTTGGTCAAATAAGTTTTGGCAAAATGCTGAATATTATCTCACTCCAGAGAGTTATAATCAAGATTTACAGATTGAAGGCTTGGAGAAGTCCTGACTTGAAGGAGCTTGTTCAGCCTTGATGGACCCAGCATTTCTCTGAGCTCACTGTTAGCCCAATGAGGGCAGGAACCTTGTCTGCAGCCATAGGCAATCGTGGTTATTTTATTCACTTTATACCTCCAGGACCTAGAAAGGTCCCTGGCACATAGTGGGTGCTTAATAAAAATTTATTAAATGAATTATTGAACTACCTTTGTTTTGCCCTCTGAATGTATTGACATCCTGAGGAACCATAGCTGCACAGTTTCCCCACATTTTGGAGAAATGGCATTTGCCCCCTAGAGTATTGGAAGGTGACAGCCAGAGCCAGAAGCCACAAATTTGCATCAGAACATCATTCAGGCGATTTGGCTACACCCAGGGTGCCTTTTTTATGCTGCCACTTTATATTTATGACTGTGTTTTATTTCTTTTGTTCTGCTGATTTCTCTTTGCTTTCCCTCATATGTCACCCAGCATAGGGGCTTACACCTAAGAGGTTACTTGCAAGTATTAATTGAAGCAGTGCTTTTCTGACAAAAACAATAATAGGTACCATTTGTTGAGTATCTACACTGTGGAAAGCACTTTCCTTGGCCCCTTATATTCATCATTTTATTTGCTTCTTGCAATACCTCTTCAGGTGAGTTTTATTAGCCCTTTTGTATGGATGAGTTACAGGAGGTGTAAAGAGATTAAACACTCTGCCTTTTATACCACAGTCAACATTTTTACGGTTGGCAGAGATGTTGAAGATTATACGGTCCAGTGCTTCCCAAATGTCAGTCCATGGAGTGGTTACATCTGAGACTTAGTTAGAGATATACGAACTGGGTTCCCCTTTTGGAGATTCTGATTCCACAGGCCTTGGATGATGCCTACGACTCAGAACCGTCAGTAAGCTGCTCTGATGCTCCTGATGCCATTCCAAGTTTAGAATTTGTTATTTCTGGTCCATCTCTTTATTTTACAAACGAGGAAACTGCCATCTAGCGAGATTAGCTCAAGGTTATATATCAAGTGTGGCAGATTTTATTTTTCAAAGAAAGTTACAAAAATATCTTCCTTCCCACATGCTTCTCTAGAATCCTACTACTCCCCCATTAAGAAGTAGAATCCATGTCTCCTACCCTTGAACCCAGGTGGGCCTTCATGGCTGCCTCAACGGATAGAGTGTGGTGGAGACAACACGATGTAACTTCTGAAGCTAAGTCAGAAAAACGTTCTGCACTTCTGCCTTGTTCGCTTGGAATGCTAGCTCGGAAACCTAGCAACTATGCTGTGAGAAAGTCCAAGTGGGCTGTGGCAAGGCTCACAGGAACAGGAACTGCGGTCCCCAGGCCACAGCCTTGGCTGTACTCTAGGCTGTCGACCAGAACAAACTGCCAGCCAAGTGAGTGAGCCAGTTTGAAAGTGGATCCTCCGGCTCCTTGTCAAGTTGTCTCTGTGAATACCACCTGGGGCAGAGACAAGCCATCCCTGCTGAGCCTTGCTCAAACTGCAGCTTTGGGATTAAAATAAACCACTATTGTTGTTTGAAGTAAGTTTTGGAGATGTTTTAATCCAGCGACAGAAAACTGATACATCAAGGTGATGTTTGAGTCGAGATGCATCAACCCGTATCATTTGGTAAAGAAGCAGCAGTAACTTAGAATAACTCGGAGTTCTGTGTAGCCCAAGTTCAAATGTCAGCTTTGTGATATTGAACACAGCCCTTCACTTCTCTGAATCTCCACCTTCTCTTCTAGAAAATGGAAATAATACCATCTCACAAGATTAAATGAGATGTCATGGTAAACATAAACATACGTATGTATATGTTATTATAAATATAAAAGTATATTGTTATTATTACTAAGGCCTGGAATCATGAGTGTTAACACAAACACCATGGTGGTTCTTATTTCCTATTTTCAAATGGGGCCAAGAAAGACTTTTTTTCTGTTTGGATTATGGCTTCTGCAAAGTCAGTCATGTGCAGTTTCTTGAGCTGCTGCCTAAGTGATGGTGTGTGCGTCTGAGAGCATGTGTGAGAGAAGCAGGAGGGAAAGATGCGAGCAGAGTGGAGCTCCTCCTGGTGTATTCTGGCTGCAGGCTATCCTCATTAAAATGATTGGAAATGACCACAGAGGCAGAGCTCGGCTAGCCCGGATTTTTTCTCCTCCAACAGAAGGTAAGTACCACGTTTTAGAGCCAGCTCAGCAATTCAGCCACCTTGACACGCTAATTACTTGGTCTGCCTGTCAAGCTGGGTATCTCAACCTCCGCAATTAATAGCTCTACTTTCAATAAGCAAAATTGTATTTGACTTCAGAGGGGAACTGAATGAGTAGCAGGGCATTTTTATTACTGAGAGTTTCCTTTGGGAGTTGGCTGACAATGTGGGTGGTAAAAATGAGTTACATATCGGAAGGAGGATTTTCTAGAACCAACACTGAGCTAAGGGTCAACCACGTCCTGGTCTAAAATAGGTCCGCCATGAATCTTCTCCTTGTTTACCTGACTTCAGAAGTAGAATTTGATCATTTTGGCAGAGCTCCATGAAGCCTGTTATCCGCTTTGCAAACTCTACCACGTATTGGATGGCGTGAGTGATCTGGATGGCACATTGCTGCCACAGTGCTTCCCTGGACTTCAAGAGAGAAAACACAGAATGTACATGGAGCAAAGAACAACTGGGACAGTCACTGAAATACTCGGGGTTGCCCTACTGGTGCTTACCTGTCACCTGGGCCCAAGGTGGGAATTCACCCAATTCCTTTAAAAGAGGTAGACAATATTTTCTAAGATATTGTTTTGACTGTTTGAACCTTGATACATCACAATCATCAAATTACTGAGGCTCAAACAATGGAAACACTACAATAGTATGTAAAGATGGTTATCTATAGTTTCTTTACTCTTTTTTCCTCCTTTGCTTCCTTCCTTCACCTCACCTAAACAAACCCAAGCTCTTAGTCCATTTCGTAAAAACAAAACTCTTGCACTGAGGAATGGTGACTCATTTATAGACTTCCAAAGGTTATTTTCACGTGGTCCTGACCGACACTAGTAATATTTTTGTTGTGTTCTTTTTCCAGAACTTACAGAGGTTGTTTTTTGGTATAAGAAGAATTTCAAGGGAAAAGGTATCAAATCAGATCACTCTCTTAAGTAATATAGAATCCCAGAAATGGATTTTGATCTTTGGGTTATTTTTTTTGGAATGGGAAACATAAATGCAAGTGTGTTAATTCTGGCATTTATTGACCATAACAATACCTACGCTTTTGTCTTTGTATTTATATAAAAGTGGTAAGATTTAATTTTTCCAGTGGAGAAAATCAGTATGTTATAATCATATCTTTAGATACAGAAACATTTATATATTTTATTAAAATTCCATTTACTGATAGATCTTGTAACTGAGAATCTAAACCCCAAAGTAAAATAATGTGAATATAGAACAAAAACAAAAAATTCCTTCTCTTAAAGACTTCTCTAATGGACACAAAGAAATAATCATAATTATATAGGGTGAGTTGTCTTCGTTTTCTTTGGTCCTTTTTTAACATGTTGGGCAAAAAATCCATTTACATTGCTTTGTTGTATATCTTTGTGGTGTTAGTTTGCAACTATTATTCCTGCTGTGATTTCTCAATTGTGCTACTGGCATCTAATGGGTAGAGACCAGGGATGCCGCTAAACACCCTGCAATGCACAGGACAGTCCCAACAGCAAAGAACTGTCCAGCCCCTAATGTCAATTGTGCCAGGGTTAAGAAAGCCAGAAACAGAGAAATCACAAAAGAACTTTCCTGTAGCTTCCCAGAGTACCTTGCTTTGATACGCTTTGATTTCTTCGTAGGTGTGGGTCTGCCATGCCAGCTGGCGCAGCTCCTCCATGGTGTATTGACATGTCTCCAAATGGGACTTAATGATGTTCTGTGCAATTCGATCTATGAGAAAGAATAATTCAAGAGTTTGTGAACAAAATCCCACTCTGCTCAAAAAGTACTTTTAATGTGTTTACTACAAGAATGCCTTTTGGCAATACTTTAGCTGTATTAGAGTGTCTTTAACACTACTATCTATTTTAAAATCTCCAAACTCTTTATTGTCTATTTAAAATCGTCAATCTTTTAATCAAAATTTACTGCCTTTTCCTTCTCCTTTTGGTCACAAACCTGGTGTCTTACAAGTTGTAAATTGTTCAAATAATTATTTACTTTGACAATAAATACAAATTACCATGTTTCTTGGTTTTTCGCCTAAAAGTCCACTAACAGTCTTGACATTTACTCCAAATACTTTAAAATATTTTGAAAATCCCTAGATCTCCATTGTTTATGTTAGAAAGGGGGAATTTAAATATGAATGTATCTGTTTATATTTTGGAAAAGGGAGGATTAAACAATTATCTAAAAAAATAGTTTTCTATAGAAGAGGAAGGAGTGAAGAGACAAGGCTAGAAGCTAGACTTCTCTGCTGATACGATTTTTGTATATTTGACTTTGGTACCATGTAGATATCTTACATAATAAATAATGGGAGAGAGAGTATAGATGAAATAACATTGACTCATGAGGAGATAATTATTGAAATTTGGTCCTGGGGATCATTATATTCTCCTTTCTAATTTTTATATGATGAAATTTTTCTTTGAAAAAGAGAAAATGATTATATTCATAAATAAATAGTGACAAACATAGTCTATTGGGGCCATTTTTATCCCAAATGAGTTGCATTTGGTATTGTATCTTAAATACTGATCATTTTGGGTTTGGAGGTGTGAAAGTTGAGTGATAGAACACGACATAGGAGCTCTCCTTAAAAATATGCTCTGAGTCCCCTGAAGTTGGATAGAGCTTGTAGGAGATCCCCTATGTAATCCCATCTACTATTTGAACACAAGACAGTGACATCTTGGGAAACCAAAGCACACAGGAATACTGTATGTGGAGTGTGAGTAGACTGAAGATGACCAAATTTGCTGCCTGAGAGCTAATCTTGGTTCATACAGAAATGGAATTTTTCTTGTGTTTCAGGTTGTACCATTTCAAATACAATTTCTGTTCTTTCTAAACAGCCATATTTCATTTCTCTAGGATAAAGGAGTACTCAGGTACCTTCTTTTTACCTTGCTAAGCTTCTGGTAAATATGGCGTGAAATGAATTGAGTTTTAGTGATGTAGAGAATAAAAAATGTAAGCTTAAGCTTCTAGTAAACTTTCCAAATAAAAGATCTCATACAGCCCATTGCCTGGCACATTGTAAACGCTGAATAAATGGTAGCCACAATTACCATTATTAGGACATTCTATACAGTGTTTCATGGGAAAGCAATGTAGTGACTCCAATGGAGACAAAACAGAGATATTTAATTTTGGAATTAGTGCTGCTGCAGAAAGATATTTCAATATTTATTAGAGTTTTTCAATCAGAACTATAAGGTGACAGACGTAGAAGATGCTGCAAGGTGCTGCTAACTTATGATAGTTATGCTGTATTGGATTCAGCATTGAGCATTTCTAGACTTCCATTGTCTATCACATTACAAAATCCTTTCTTTAAAAAATCCAAGATTCAAAATTTTACTGAATATCCTCCTATGTTATAAAAAAGAGCAGGAATTACTCTATATATCATGTTAAAATAGATTGGTATGTCATGTTTCATCATTTTTCAATTTCACTTGGGCAGTCCAATTACTTAGAATCTAAAAAAACCATCTCTATTCCTCAGTAGGTACATAATGAAAACATAAGATTTTTATAGCTCTATAGTTTTCAAACCTTTATCTTCTTGGTGTAGTTTGTTTTCATCTTCAAAGATATGCTGATTTGTCAGTAATTTACAGGCTCCAGGGTTTATGAGCAAAACTACAATTGCCACTCAAAATTGCATTATGAAAAACTCTTTCTCTCTTCCTTTATGACATCTCCTGGGAACTGTTGGCCAAGGTTTAAGAATTCTCTGGCTTTCTGCCTCCAAAGCTTAGAGTTCTATTGGGTTTGAGAAGGAGTGGGCATAATAACAAGTGGACAGGTTAAGAAAAATTGGAAGTTAAATCTACACGCATGCTTTAGGCCTCAGCTCAGCTGTCCGCTCCTGCGCGAAGGCTTCCCTGCTTCTCTCTGTCCTCAGGTAGAAGGACGGGCTGCCATTACATTTTGATTCTGCCTGTAACTGAGCCATTATTCTATTCAGACTCACACTGTGGTTATTTGTGTGGATCTGTTTGTTCCATACCCTTCAAGATTGTGAGCTCTTCAAGAACTGGACTGCAGAGCCCAGCAGAGTGCATTCATATATTCATTCAACAAAAACAGTTTTTTGAGAAGCTATTATATATCAGGTTAAGGTACACATGGGAAAAGAAGACATTTTCTTTTGTTTAAAAGATCTTACAGTAATATCATATCATATCATGATGTAATAAGTGCCCTCAGTTATTGTGGGAGCCCAAAGGAGAAAATGTCTTACTTAGTCTGGGGGAGGCAGAAAAATAACCATAGAGAAGATGCCTGTTGACCTGGGTCTGAGCAGGAGTTTGTTACGTGGAGAAAAGAAAGATGGACCTCAGGTCGAGGGAATGATGTTACAAAGGCACAGATAGAAAATGAGCTATGAGCTAGACAATTTCTGACATTATATTTTAAATCTTTACAATTCTTACCTTTCATAAGCAATTTCCCTTTTACTGAGGAAAGAAGTGAGGTTCAGAAAGAGTAACTGATTCTAGACCCATTTTTACAGAGCTAGCAAATGGTGTTTTCAAATCGAGTCTGTCTTTTCTGGCAGGAAGTCTGAAATGTTTGCTACATAGAGTGCATAGAAGAGACAGGGAGACATGAGAGTAGGGCTGGAAATTTTGACTAGAGACACCACAGCTGAGTAAGCCGGGCTAAGGAATTTGGATTTATCTTGCAGGCAACTGGGAGCTAGTGGAAGCTGTGATGCAGAAGAGTGACATGGTCGGTTTTTTGTCGTAGAGAGGTGATCCTGGCCATGGCACAGAAGATGGCATGGCATTAGAGAGTACATGAGATTAATCAGGCTGTTGTGAAAATTCAGGCAAGATATGAGGAGGGTCTGGACTAGGTGAGAATGACAGAGATGGAGTGGAGGGCCAGATTCAAGACGATTCTCAGGGAGAATGCACAGGACCAGCAGATGTGTGTGTGTGTGTGTGTGTATGTGTGTGTGTGCGTGCGTGTGTGTATGTGTGTGTGTGTGTGTGAGAGAGAGAGAGACAGAGAGGGAACATTATATATAGTAGGTGCTCAACCAATGTTGAATTAGTAACGATAATGTTGAAAATGTCCATCCATCCTTCCATTTTCTGCTTTATTTCACAAAGGATTTTAGAAAGCTTAGATTGACTTTGATGATCTTAAAGCCTAACGACTCACAATGGCTTTGAAGTCAAACATTCAACATGCACAATTATTTCCCATACCCTTGTGGTGAGAAATAAAAGGCAAATCTCTGTTTGACCCAAGACTTATCAATATCAGTGAGGGCTAAGACACAGCAGCAGCAGTTGCTGAAGCAGACTCTTCCGTTTCCTTCCACGGGTCTGCAGTGCAAAGGTGAGCCACGTGGAAAACCCTACTTGACCCTCTCAAGGCTCAGGTTGATAACCACATGGTAAAGCTAGACTTGGTCCCATGGGAGCAAGGCCTGAGGGCTCTTTCTGTCAATTAGAAAGATGCATGAACATCAGAGGAGATGGTTTGCTTCGACTGAGAGTCTCCAGTTGTGAAAAGGAGAGAAGGATTTAAAAAGAAGGGACAAAGGGAAAGACAATGAATACAGTATGCAAAGTTCCTGCTGGGAGCCAAAGGAACTTTCAAGAGTCCTTGCCTGGAAAAATAGAAAAGGTAATAGTAAACGCAGTCCTCTCCAGGGACCAACCACATGAGAAAGTCCAGACAAAGAGACTGAGGTAAAAGAGCAGAGGATATGGAATCTTTCTGGGCAATCGCACTCCCTTCATCCGTTTCCCTGACTTGGGTTGCAGTAGCTTCTCGGAGCCCAGTTTTTGTCGGATTCTTTAACTAACTTGGGCTGCAGATGGCGCATGTTGAAGCAGTTGGCAAGCACTGAGCCGGGTTAATGGGCCCAACAGGAATATGGCCCAGATGACTGACTCATGGGAAATTCTACCACCTTCTGAGGTGATGTCCGCGGACTCTACACTCTGCTCTTCCTGAGACCAGGGATGAGGCTAGAGATTTCTTAAGCGGACATGAAAATGCAGCTCTATCTTCTCGTAGTTAAGTTTCTATATAAGTTCAGAGAGACAGAGGTTTGTCCAATTCAGTAAGTACGTGGGCTCTTTTGATAGTTAATAAAACAATGTCAAGAAACAAGAAAAAAAATTTATACGCTCTGTCCAGTCATTCTTCTTCCATCAGGATGAGGTAAAATGTAAACATTGATGCTGGCAAGGGAAAATTATGTAATTATGGGTTAATATTAAGTCCATGATCCTAATATTCTTTTGGTTAATTTTCATGAAAAATAGCTCACTCTCACTTTACTTTACTGACTAATGCGATTCTACCACGATTATATCTCCCATTTACATCTCTCTTTTCCTCTCCCTTCTATTTCCTCCTATTTACATACACGTAAAACTGTTTTTCATAAAATTGCCGTTTTGTTTTCAGACCCTGATACTTTTCTTGAAGGAAAGCTTATTGGAACCCAAGAATTATAACCAATTAACAGAATTTGTAACTTCGTGTGTTAAGCAATTTTCTTTATGAGATAGAAACAACGATGTGTGATTCAAATGAAAGAGTAATCCCAGAAATCTTTAAAATAATTGATATAGGGATATGTTTATGGCATAGATTGTGGTGATAGTTTCTTGAGTATATACTCATCTTTAAACTCGTTAAGTGGTATATATTAATTATATACAGCTTTTTGTATGTCAATTATACCT